TATCGGATAATGAAATATATAGATGTACCTATACATATATATGTGTGTGTATATATATATATATATGTATATTAGCAACAGGAATTTCACGTTTATGGGTAGAATGAAGTAATATATTATCAATGCGATATGCACATTTTAAATGCATTATTTTTATCATACGATGAACTGTATAATAAAATTTATATAGTTCCAAAAATTAAATATTTTCAAAAGAAGTACAGAAAATTTCAGAAATTGAAATTAAAAGATTTCGTAACAAGCTTTCATATCTCATTATTCCCTTAAAACTATTCATAAATATGGTTTAACCCTGATGGGTAAATTCGTCTTTACACCAGGGAGAAAAGTAAATTTTACTTGGTTGGAATTAAATAAAATTACCGCCAAAACTAACAATAGCATTTTAGGGAGCTCCTTTTCTTTTTTTTTTTTTTTTTGTTTTTTAATTGCACACTATACACACAGAACAGAGCAGCACAAATCAAGGGTGATAATGGGATTTTCCAACTTTTTTGACAATCTTCTCTTTCCCCATCTCTCTGCCTCCATAAATACCAGACACCGCTCTTTCGTCTTCTCCACAATCATCCTCTTCTCCTCATAAAAAATAGTCTCATATTTCACATAGTCCTAAACAGAGCAGAGGGAAATTATGGGGATTCTTCAGATGTCAATTTGTTTGGTTTCTTTAATGGTGCTTTTGACTCTTGTTGATGCTAGAATTCCAGGAGTTTATCCTGGTGGCCCTTGGCAGAGTGCTCATGCTACTTTCTATGGTGGCAGTGATGCGTCTGGAACTATGGGTATTTTTCTTTGAACTCTCATTTCTCTATTTATTTTCATTAATTAGCTTTGTTTTTCTAGTTTTGGTTTGAATCAAAGATTACCCACGATTCTTTTAGTGTAAATTTGGCATCAAAATCGCCAAAAACTAAACTTGAAAACACACACTGTTTTTCCGAACTCTGTTTTCAATTTGCTCTACTCACTCCTCGTTTGATCCCCTGCTTTCGAAATGGATTATATGCATACCAAAACCAGTACACACCCGTTGCAAAATCTTTAATCCCTAACCAATTTGATCCATTTTCAACCCTTCTGAATCCAATTCCATGTCAGTACGGAAGGACCCGAACTGGAATTCTATAAATGTATGATTAAAACCAGAAACTCCCTTAACCCATTTTCTCTTTTCAAAATTTTAGGAGGAGCATGTGGCTACGGGAACCTATACAGCCAGGGGTATGGAGTAAACACTGCAGCGCTGAGCACGGCTCTGTTCAACAATGGGCTTAGCTGCGGTGCCTGTTTCGAGCTCAAGTGCGCTAATGATCCGCAATGGTGCCACTCCGGTAGCCCTTCCATCTTCATCACCGCCACCAATTTTTGCCCTCCCAACTATGCTCTGCCCAACGACAATGGCGGCTGGTGCAACCCGCCTCGCCCCCACTTCGATCTCGCCATGCCAATGTTCCTCAAGATTGCCGAGTACCGCGCTGGAATCGTCCCTGTTTCTTACCGAAGGTTAGTTAAACTGTTTAAAAAATTTTCAAATGTTAAGTTGGATTAAACAAAAGAAAAAAACTAAATGAGGGTTAAAATCTAATAAGTCTAAATTACGGGGACGAAATTGTAATTTAATGATTCTTATCTTTTTTATAGCCACAAATACTGAAAATTTTCGTAAAATCTCAACCGTTCGTTTTCATTCGATAAAGTGGGCCCCTAATTTCACAGATCTGATCAAATGGGTATCTGATCAAGGAATAATATTCCCTAGACGACTCCCAAGACAAAGGGAATCAAATAGAAGATAGAACCTTGTCACAGGATAACACAACTCTTTTCCTGAAAATCACTAAAACGTTTTTTTGATTTAGTTTATATTTTTTAATGTATAGAGTGCCGTGCCGCAAGAAGGGAGGGATCAGGTTCCAGATCAACGGTTTCCGTTACTTTAACTTGGTTTTGATCAGCAACGTCGCGGGTGCAGGGGATCTCGTGAAGGTGAGCGTTAAGGGTTCAAGGACTGGGTGGATGAGTATGAGTCGCAACTGGGGTCAAAATTGGCAGTCAAACGCGGTTCTGGTTGGTCAGTCACTCTCGTTCAGGGTCACAGCCAGTGACCGACGCAGCTCTACCTCCTGGAACATTGTACCCGCTAATTGGCAGTTCGGTCAAACTTTCACCGGCAAAAATTTCAGGGTCTAAAAAGTAAAAGAACATTAGCCCTTCTTTTTCGGGGGGTTTGTTTTTTCTTTTTTCCAAAAATTTTCTGGGAAAGTGGGCGAGAAACTGAAGGAAAGTTTGCTTAGTGGGTGATACTTTTTTGACTTCGTTAGGGGGTGATTTGTTTGTTTGTTTTTTTTTTTTTTTTTTTTAATTTCTTTGTCTATTTTAATTTTGGGGGTGAAAGTCAAAAGGGTAAAAGTGTCAAAGTAAAAAGTTAAAATGTAAGGAGTTGAAGTGGCTAACCAGAAGAGTAAAAAAGCCCGCAGCTCATTTTATTCACATAATTATACTTCTTTTAATGTTAATGATTAGCGTTTTACTTTAATTCTTATGTTCATTTCATGTGTGCCTTTTCTTTTTCTTTTTCTTTTTTTTTTTCAATTTTGAATTTTAAAGCTCAAAATATCATATCATTCATGCATCTTCACCAATCCCATCACTTTTATATTTTGAGTAGCAACATAACTGTCTTAATATAAAAATCATAATATTGAGAATTGTAATTTCTTTCTTTAATGAATTAAAAAGGTTATTAGGTTTTCAATATAATTATCCAAACTAAAAGAATTTAAATATAATATCGTTATAATTTAATTCAATTTGATCATTGTAATTTTATTAAAATATTAGAGAATTAAAATTTTAGTTTTAGTGAATTAAACATTATACATTGATCATTCTCAGTGTATAATATACTTATAAAGTTGAGACTTTTATGTTTTCAATGAAATTAAAACTCGTGATTTTTAAGATAACATAAATATTTTAATCACTAAACTCGATTCATGATTAACTTAAGTTGGTTACAAGCTAGCTAGGAATATGAATGACATATTAGTTTCGTTGTACTTTTTTATTATTGAATAGATTAACATATAATAACAATATAAATTCTATTAGGGAAGATTTCAATTAGTTTTTTTTTTTTTTAATCAAAAGAGGGTCATGTTCCATGCAAATTCTTGATGAACAAAGAAGAGTTAAATAAATTAAATCTTTTTGGACTCCGTCTTGTTTAGATTTTCTCTCCTCAAATCTCTCTCTCCTTCCATCTTTCTTTCTTTCCTATATTAGAGATTGTACAATTATTGTAAATCTTTTCTTATTTAGTTTAGAGCTAATTAGTCTCCTTATTTTTTCTTCCATTTTTACGTCCTAGTTTCTAGCTCAGTTGTATTATAAATTCTCTTTGTAGGTTGGTTGAATGATATATTTTTGAGAGGAATAAAACCTCTCTTTTCAAGTTGGTATCAGAGCCAAACCCTTTAAATTCTGAAAAAAAAGAAAGATGAGTGAGAAAGGTGTTACATCATCTGGAAATAAATCAATTCT